AATTAAAGTTGTATCACTCGTCTGACTGGTCTTACTGGAGACAAGATAATACTCTATGACTGCTTGGCTGTCACATAGCATGGCTTGAATTTGAACTTAACCTTTCAGTTGACAGCTGCTACCACCAGGGAGCATGTATTCAAGGTCGTCCGAACATAGTTATTTTACGAAGTAGTCAAATTAAAAGTATAAGGACTGCAAAAAATGAGATAAAATACCGCTAAGAGATATACTGTGAAAGAACAGGATCTTTGATGTTCAGTATACTTTCAAAACAGGGCTATCAAATCAATAATTTTGCAGCTATTTAGTCCGTTAAAGCAGTATATAAATTGGTTTGTTTAGGTGTTTTTGATTATCGTGTTTTTGTAACTCCTTAGCCGGAAAATATCAAAATTCGGAAATTGCACGAATCAGTCTTTATTTATTTTTACATAAAGGTTATACAGACATTTGTTGAAAAATGCCCTAGAGCCGTGTTTCTCAACCCGAACCCCTTCAAATAATAAAGAACTGGTTCGTCGTTGATATTTGATAGGTCTTCACCCTTCTTAATCTTGAGATGGGGAAAAAACTGACTATCAATAAAGATGTCCTGAAGGTTCAAGTACTTTAAAGTTTCGCTATTAAGGAGTAAGTCCTTCCAGGTGTTATTGTCTTGTACTTGAAAGTTTGCTAAAGTTCATACAGACTATTTTGACTATACATGTCATTTAAAAATTTAAATAACTTTTCCTCTGTCATTATAGATTATATTGGAATATAACTTTTGTAAAGAAGACATTGAAATATCCCCCCCAGTGGCACAGTAGCATGTCTGAGGACTTACAACACAAGAAACCTGGTTTCGATACCCGTGAGGGGCAGACGACAGATAGTCCTTTGTGTAGATTTGTGCTCAATTAAAAAGAAACAAACAAATACATTGAAATATTTTCTTTCCATGTATAATGATTCAAGCGAAATAGAGATGGGTGGATTCAGAGTTGGATGGGGAGGATCAAGAAAGAAGTATGTGTACAAATGTAATTCTCTTTCCTTGGTATAGTAAGAAACATACTGAAGTAATAAAAAGTGCATACAATTTTGTTTACATGGGTACAACTACACACAAAATATAAATGTAAAATAACATGCTTCACAAAATACGATTGACTGGCTGTTATTAATCTATGTTTACGTAAGGAATCTCGAAGAGAAACTGATTTTCTTGGCTCTGTCTTGCTTGGCATCTGCAGGCTGCCATGAAACCTTGGATATGTTTACTTATTAAGAAGGCAATGAGTTAGTTTATAACTGTAAACGGCTTGATTGCTTGTTAATATGCATTTCAAGAACCTCTTTAGGTAAAATTGGGATTTATCGATGAATGGACAACAAAGTGAAATCATTGAGACATGACTGGTTCATCACTGACCTTTGATAGGTCTTCATAAGTTTTAATCTTGAGAAGGATCGTACTGCTGAGCATTTTGTAACAGGGAGGACATTTAACAGCTCTATATGTCGCAACCAAGGTTTAACTGGTTTCGATTACTATATACAGACTGCTGTGTCCCAAAAGGTCGAGTTCTTTCAAACTGGGGCTAGGCGCTGCACATTGGTCGGAATACCAGACTGTGGAGTCTTGATTTCGTTGTTCGCATCCCGTTACACCACACCACACACACACACACAGAAAGAATTGCACTTTTTGTATTGGATGCCTTATAAAAGTAACGATCTCGTCCTTCTATGTGGTCTGATAAGAATTGGTGGTGGATGGTGTTGACGCAGCTGCCTTCCCTCTATCAATCACTTTATAATTAAAGACTGCTAGTGCAGTCTGCCTTCATGTAGGTTTGCACAAACTCCAAACAAACCTTTCAAGTGTTCATTGCGCCATGAAGTATTTGATCAGGATTGAAATGACCTGAAAAGGCAAACATAAGTCCATGAAATTGAAAATCTAGTCATTAAATCTTCCAGTTCTGTTATGATATAACGTTATTGATATTTATAGACCATAACTTTTCCCTCTTGTTCGGAGGGGCATACTTAAAGTCACACCACTAAATCTGTAAGTCTGTTTGTACTGCTCAAGGTATCACCAAACTTCCCTTATGTTTCTTCTTTTAGTTTTCTCTTTAAGGGCAGATGTGACTATTTCTACCATTCTGCAGAACTGGAGGAGATCGGCTGCTGGAAGATGCATTTGACGAGATAGCGGCAGTGGCGTATTGTAAACTGAAACAGACACTCTCAATGGTTTAGCAAACTCAATTAATTTTACTGATTAGACCAGTCCATTTACTTCAGTAGTTGATTGAAAACCTACATTTGAAACAAGATTTTTCAACTATGGCTAACAGCTAGGAGCATTTTGTGAAAAGTGATTTGGGGTTACTTCGGACAATGGTTTCGTTTGTTTCTGGCTTATTATGGGTTGCTACATTTTAAAAGTAATTTCTGTAACATAATGATAATAACAGAAAATTGAAAAAAAAAAGAAGTGGGACGTAACTCTTTTCTCCTGAAACCACAATGAGTCAAAGGCTTGTAATGCTTAATTCTTGTTGCTTTGTTTCGAATATTCGCAGAAAGCTTTGCAAAACTAACTGTCCCATAGTTTCAACTGATAGATTAAAGGGAAGACAGCTAGACAACATTAACCACCGCCAACTCTTGGGCTACTCTAATCAAATAGTGGGATTTGATCGTTACTTTTATAATGCACCCACGGCCCCAAAGTGCGGAGCGCGATTTTGCGGCAATGGAACACGAATTATTGACACTCGTATCCACTGGCCGGAACGCCAACTACTAGACCACGCCTTTTTATAGTTGAGTTAATAACTCATGTGTTAATTTGGATGAAAGATGAATGCTTTCCTGTAGCAGTAATATAGCAAAGTAACTGATGAAAGTTCGTCAAAAAATTATCCCAAAGTTCTTGAAAAGTAGACATGTTTTTTTCCAACAATCCCTTAGCTAAATGGACTCATTAAACCACCTCATGAAATGTTAATACTAGGCTGATCTCACAACTTTTATGTAGTTGAGTTACCCGAGAGGCCAACTGAAATAAAGATAGCAGTGGCTATTATGGTGATAAGATCAGGAAGTGTCTCCTTTAGTACGCCTCCACGGAAGGGTTTGTGGGATAAACGATCCAACACGGCCTTTATGCTGATCAATAACGGTTCTACTTTCAGTTTATCGTACGTGTTATGATCATAGATTAAGATATCCCGTACCTGGCCGTTGTGTGAAGCTGGAGCAGTGAAAGTTTCTACCATTCTTCCACGGGGTCGAGAACCGGTAATGGCAAGTCAGCGTACCTGCAAACTAACGTATATTAGGAAGGGCATTGAACTAAAGATCAAGCTGAGAAGAAGCTTGCTGGGATGTGGACGATAAAATTGTTTCCTCACTAACAATATTTTTTTTCTTCGTACTATCAAAGCGTACGTATTCACTGTAGCTGATAGATAAACTAATTCTTGTCTTCCTGTTTTAGTAGCATATGTTCACCTTTTGTCTTTTTCTTAATATCACCCATGAACAAGCGGATTATGACAAACTATGTGATGGAGATATGTTTAGAAAGTATAAAGAGCTGATTTTAACGCTATATTACTTTAGAAAAACCACACGAGCGTGGGAATAGCTGGATGTTTATCGTTTTCTCGTGATTGCAAATGTTTATGACAGGTATACTTTTACTTCGCTTTTCAAGCTTCGTTTTTACAAAAGATAAATTAACAATAAAAAGGAGAGAATAGCTTACTCGAAAGTGTTATTTTATGATAATAACTTTACATGACTTTATGCGATCTTCGCCCATAAAATTTAATAAAGGGTTACTGATTTTCTTGAAATACTACATTATTTCAAATAATACCCTGCTACTGATTTACTGAGGAGTTTACACGTTACTACTTATGGTTAGCCATGATAAGTTTCACTTCTGTTTAAAATTTACTGGAAAATTTATATATTAACACTTACGGTTAACGGTAGTGAGTTTTGCTTCTCTTTAAAATTTAAATAATAGTTTATATATCAACACTTACGGTTAACGGTAGTGAGTTTTGCTTCTCTTTAAAATTTAAAGTATACTTTATGTATGAACACTTACGGTTAACGGTAGTGAGTTTCTCTTCTCGTTAAGCTTTAAAGAAGAGTTTATATATTAACACTTACGGTTAACGGTAGTGAGTTTCGTTTCTCTTTAAGATTTACGGCTGTCATTTTTATGAACTCTGTTGATTTCATGAAACTAATAAAAGACAAGGCTCATTGAGCCAATACAGTGTTGTGTGTGTAAGACTGGAATAAATTGAACGCTGGAGGTTGCAGAAGACAGGATAGCAGCAGTGTTGTAGAGAAAACTGAAATATACACTTTCTGTGATATGGTAAATTCAAGTATATTTCGAAACCTTTAATTCAGAGCTAACGTACTCGTGCGACTATACACGTTGGATTTTGCACAGTTTCGTTATTTAGGTAAATTAATATTATTACCGCCTTAAGTATGGTGTCTGCGTGTGTATTGTTGATCTAAACAATCAATCCAAAGTATTGTTAAAATTCTGCAGTAAAGACTCCTATAGATTTAAAATGTTAGAAGTTTTCAGAACATTACTGCTCGTGATGTAGACGTTCTCTCATTGTTGTTTTTCTGTTTTGCAGATCACAGTAGTTTCCTTCTCATACGTTGAAACTCTGATTGTATATGTTACATGGTTTGATTTTGAAAAAGAAACTAATTATGTTTTTCACAAACACCAGCATACGATTGTTGAATTGTAACTAATGCGCCTTGTGATTCCAGCCTAGGAAAATTATATGACGTTTATTTACGTGAACCATTTCAAACCAAGTAAAAACCTTTTAAAATGTTCACCCTGCATAAAACGCTCTCGAACAATAAAGTCACCACTACGTGAGGCTTCAGAGGACAGCTCATATGAATCCTGTACACTATTAAGAATGACCATTTTCTTTGGTTTTCAGATTCGCCTTCTGTATCTGGAGTTAACATTCAGTGTCTTAGCAACAACATCCAAGTTACCATAGCAACCGGCACTAACTTTAACGGGATGATTTATCCCAAGGGACTTTCAAAGAACTCCTCCTGTATGATGGAGTATTCAACTATCGAAGGGCAGGTTACTTACACTCTGCCATTACATGCTTGTAACACCATGAACACTGATCTAGTAAGTATCTACTCTCTTACAAAAACTTAATTGCTTGTAACACCATAAACACTGGTCGAGTACTACTCTCTTACAAAAACTTAATTGCTTGTAACACCATAAACACTGGTCGAGTACTACTCTCTTACAAAAACTTAATTTCTTGTAACAAACACCATGAACATCTAGTAAGTATCTACTCTCTTAAAATATACCATTATTATAACACGATGAATACCGAAAATAATATTAAGTTAGTTGTTTTAATCTTAAATAGTATATTGAAATTTTAGAAATTATATGAATTTAAAACTTCATTAGTTTCCATGGCCAGATCTTTTTTATGAAGTTTGTTGGTTGATAACAAGGTTGGATTTTGTGTGTGCTTGAATTGTGACAATACAGAGGTGAATTTAATTTACATTGAGGTCATTTGAGGGTGATGTTCGTTAATGTGTCAATATTTATAAAGATATTAAACTTGTGACCTCATTCTTAGAAACGCCATAGAAAAGATCATATAATTATCAAACATTGTTCTTTCAAGTTACTGGAAATACAGAGGAAATGATCGAACCATTATTGATTACTTCATTAAACGTGGGAAAGATGGGAACTTAAGATCTGTAGTGTTATAAGCATTGGTTAAGAGCTAACGACTGCGTCTTACGTGGTATAATTAAACACATGTATCGTGTATAGAGTCGAAAATAATAAAGTATATGACCGTAGCCACTGGTGTAACTTTCGTTTCAAAAGTGGGAAGGGGGGGGGTAGGTTTTTTTAGCTGGAGTGTCCACGAAGTTATTATATCAAAATAGAAAAAAAAAGTAATCAAAAGTGTGGGGGAGCATCTCCCCATGGCCGTAGGTATGTTGAAGCACGATAAGGCAGTATCCTAATCGTTTTTACTGGCTAAGTTGAACGAGTCAGAATACGTATGGTTGTTAATTCACTGAATGTATACGATAAATCAGACTAGTTCTGACCATTTCTGTAGACTATTGTATTTTTTAAATCTAGAACAGAACTGTGCCAAATAACCATAGTTTTTACATAGTGTTTTAACGTCTGACTACGGTACTGAAAAAAGAAAATTACGTAATGGAGAGATAGACTGGTTTTCAGTATTATTCAAAGTTGTTAGGTTCAGCATGTATGTGTTCACGTTTCAATAGTCATGACTGGTACCTCACCTATAACAGAAATCTTAACCAAATATACATTGTGTCATTAAATATTACTGAAATGGTAATTACAGCTTTAAAACCTCGGTATTTTGTTTCGCAGAATGATGGTGTAGAATATTTCAACACTGTTGTTGTCCAACCACACCGAAAGCTGGTGACCAATCAGGGCCGAGGCTACCACGTAAGATGCCGATACCAGACAAAGGAAAAGAGTATTATTTCAAACTTCAATGTTAGGTAAAACTCATCGTGCATTTCTTGATACATAGTTGTCATTTTCTTGTCAAAAAAAGGAGAAAAGAAGGTAACATTAATTAAATTTTAAGTAACTATTTTCTTTCATTGAACAACAGCTGTAACCGTGACATGAAGAAACGGATACACAAGGACGTGTAATATTGCATCACGAATAATACCAGAGAGTAAGCGTTTACAGTATATGTAACATATCCTTTCTAAAGAGAAGTGATTAGTGGTTACGCTTGTATATATAAATTAAAAAATCACATATGTACTTCATAATGTACTGGTTCTTAAAAACAACAACGTTTGAATCGTGGCTGTTCGCTTGGCCTTGATAACGTGTGTAGGAGGTCCTCCAAGTAGAAGATGTACATTATTCTGCTTAGCTGAGCTGTCTTAAGTTTTTTTTTGTTTTCTTCAGTGGATCTTGTTAACTTCGAACGTGAACTTACATCCGATGATTTCAGACAAATTACTCCAATCACGGTCACCCGCCTATACTCACACCGGTCACTGATGACTTGTACCATGTAGCCAATTTTGTAAAAACTAACCAACCGTCTGCGTGTAGCTTATTTCAGAGGAGGTGGGGGGGGGGGGGAGCTATTACTGGGAAGGAAAGTTAGTAGCGTCCTTCATGGCGGTGAATATCCTTGAGACACCGTGAAAGTTCATTCACATTCCTTGAAGAGGTAGTGAAGTCAGCTACGGTCCAGTGACGTTCGCAGTTACTGAGAGCTACCCAGTCACTTAAGCGTGGCTGGTAGACACATTATCAGGTAGCTCATGCACATCTACCTTACAATAGCAACTATGAGATGACTGTGTTGTTGTTGTTCACAATATTAATTTCAACACGCTATAGAAATGGCAGTTACTGCACATCACACATTTCAGTCATCCGGAAGTCAATATGTAAAATATCCCTCCATGTCCGCTTCCCTCTTCTTTGGCTATTGTTTCTTTGCTCTGTTAATCTTGTCCACTATTATAATTATATCTGCTTCCCTCGATGGTACTGCGGTAAGTTTACGGACTTACAACGCTGCAATCGGAGGTTCGATTCCCCGTGGTAGACGCAGCAGATAGCCCAATATTGCTTTGCTCTAAAACATACAAGTAAACACAAACTCTATATCTGCTGTAAACTTCACTTTCTTTAAGATTTTACCTTTTAGATGTTCCACTTACCTATTTTTATTTCTTACTTAACTGATAGCTCAATTCTTTTGCTAATGTATAAGGTTACTGCGCCTAGCAGAGTTGTGTATTTTTAGGCGAACTCTTAGTGTCAAGACGTTAATTCCGACACTTAGTCCCTGTTTCAGTAAATTGTCGTTGTGAGTTCCATCTGATTATTATATTTCCCTTATATTATTATATTAGCTTAGAAATGACAATTTTATTGTCACTGTCCTATCTTTACTTTAGCTTGGAAGTTACAACTTTATTGTCACTGTCCACTCCTTCCTTTAGCTTGGAAGTTACAACTTTATTGTCACTGTCCACTCCTTCCTTTAGCTTGGAAGTTACAACTTTATTGTCACTGTCCTATCCTTGCTTTTACTTGGAAGTTACAACTCTGTTGTCACTGTCCTCTCCTTACTTTAGCTTGGAAGTTACAACTTTATTGTCACTGTCCTATCCTTGCTTTTGCTTGGAAGTTACAACTCTATTGTCACTGTCCTCTCCTTACTTTAGCTTGGAAGTTACAACTTTATTGTCACTGTCCTCTCCTTACTTTAGCTTGGAAGTTACGACTTTATCGTCACTGTCCTATCTTTGATTTAGCTTGGAAGTTGCAACTTTATTGCCACTGTCCACTCCTTGCTTTAGCTTAGAAGTTACAACTTTATTGTCACTGTCCTATCTTTGATTTAGCTTAGAAGTTACAACTTTATTGTCACTGTCCTATCCTTGCTTTAGCTTGGAAGTTACAACTTTATCGTCACTGTCCTATCTTTGATTTAGCTTAGAAGCTACAACTTTATTATCACTGTCCTATCCTTGCTTTAGCTTGGAAGTTACAACTTTATTGTCACTGTCCTCTCCTTACTTTACCTTGGAAGTTACAACTTTATTGTCACTGTCCTATCCTTGCTTTAGCTTGGAAGTTTCAACTTTATTGCCACTGTCCACTCCTTGCTTTAGCTTAGAAGTTACAACTTTATTGTCACTGTCCTATCTTTGATTTAGCTTAGAAGTTACAACTTTATTGTCACTGTCCTATTCTTGCTTTAGCTTGGAAGTTACAACTTTATCGTCACTGTCCTATCTTTGATTTACCTTAGAAGTTACAACATTATTATCACTGTCCTATCCTTGCTTTAGCTTAGAAGTTACAACTGCATTTTCACTGTCATATATTTGCTTTAGCTTAGAAGTTACAACTGCATTTTCACTGTCATATATTTGCTTTAGCTTGGAAGTTACAACTTTATTGTCACTGTCCTTTTCTTACTTTAGCTTGGAAGTTACAACTTTATTGTCACTGTCCTATCTTTGATTTAGCTTAGAAGTTACAACTTTATTGTCAATGTTCAATCTTTGCTTTAGCTTAGAAGTTACAACTTTATTGTCAATGTTCAATCTTTGCTTTAGCTTAGAAGTTAAAACTTTATTTCCACTATCTTATCCTGTTTCAGGTTATTAATTATGACTTTAATGTTACTGCTCTATCCCTGTTTCAGTTATTAATCATGACTTTAATGTTACTGCCCTATCTCTATTTCAAGTTATTAAGTATGAGTTAATTGTATTTATGCTATCCTTGTTTAAGGTTATTAATTATAGCTTTAATGTTACTGCCCTACCCCTATTTCAGGTTATTAAATATGACCTTATTGTGCTTGTGCTGTTCCTGTTTTAGGTTATTAAGTATGACTTTATTGTCTTTATGCTATCCCTGTTTCAGATTAGTAAGTGTAACTTTAACATCAGTTACATGTTCATGTTTCCTTGTGTAATTTTCCCGTTTTTGTTTTGTTTTCAGTATGTTGGGTACAACTCCCATGTATGCTACTGCCCCAATGCCGGTTTGTACCATGAAAATTTTCCAAGGAGATTTTGATCACGCGTTTGTTGCTGAAAATGTCAAGATTGGTGACCGTCTCACACTGGTCATCAATATCGATCTTCAAGGTAAACCTTAAGTGTCGATTATATTTTAATTTATCACGTATTTTTAGACTTTTTCACATAGAAATTGGATATCCTATATATTTAATGTTTGTAGTTTTTTTGTTTTATATAAGGTCATGTGAAAATATAAAAAAAAGACTTTGACATCATTTAAACATACAAGTTAAACCATATTTCTATTTAAAAATCCTAAAAACATTAAAAGACTAACTCTAACATCAAGGACGAAGTTATTATTATTATCCTTATACATCTTTAAAACCTGGATACGGATCGTGAATCAGCGTTTAAGGTTTTCTATCAACGGGTAATAAACCGTTGTACACGCTCTCTTCTTCTGAGGCGGGAGGAGGTTACAAAACGTTTAATATTTTGTTATCAAGACAGCGTCAACCAATCACGACCCGTGGAATGGCTGTGTTTCGTGATCAAGTAATTCTTTATAGCGCTTTCAAGATCTACTTCTTATTCCAGATATCTATGGTATGAAGGTTACGAACTGCTTGGTTCGTGATGGGCTCAACTGGGGAGAACAACCTTTAATCAACAACGATGGGTACGTATGCAATTTTTTTGTTTCGCGAACCTCAGTGCACACTGTCCACAATATTATTAATGATTAATCATTACATGGGATAACGTATTGAATCAGTTAACTTATTATTAACTAACACTATTTTCATGTATAGTCATGACTCGAGGGTGTCTTACTTTAAGGTTTGTGTAGTGTTGAATATACTTATCAGAATATACATTTGAAACGATAAAGAGTCTGATCGAAGGACTCAGCGTTATTGAACTTCAGGTAAGATATTTCATGAGAAGAATCGCTTTGCGTTATTTATTTAATAACAGTGCTTATATCTGTAAGTATAAGCACTCGCATACATACAAATATAAGCCTTCGTAAAATTCTCAAGAAGAGAAATAAAATTACATTAAATAAAATTAAACTTACAATTACGTGTAGCTTCTGGTAGAGTTGAATGTATAAAAAACGTGCTTTATATATATATATATACCGGGGCCTTTCGAGTACAATAGGAATTATTCCTACTGAGATTTATAGGGTTTACAGTAACTTGATAACGTTATTGTGTCTCTTTTAACAACCAGAAAAGGCTTAATTTGATTACAGTTTAAAGCTATGTAATAAGTTACAAAGCTTAACTTATGTAGTGCTAATTGAAACGACTGTCAGATTTAAGGAACTCAGATTCTTTACTATTTATGAAATCCAAGATTTATTATCCATGCTGAAGTTTGGCATTGAATTTTTAAGTAATGGGCTCTTTTATTGTAGCAGAAAAATATTTGAAAAGTTTTTTATTTCTCCTGTGGCTTATTTATTTTGTGATTATTGCAGATGTCCAGTTGATCCCGAGATTATGGGTCCGTTTGACTACACCCAGAACAAAACCCGAGCAGTGGTGAACTTTCAAGCTCACAAGTTCCCTTACACGTCCTCTGTCTATTATCAGTGTAACGTCAAGCTGTGCTTGAAGAAGGGCGGAGGCTGTGATGATGTGGTAGGTTAGGTGTAGAATCTTCAGTTACATATAAATTAAACCCACCTTGTCATATATGGCTACACACAGGACAAACGTTCTGCTGTATAGGTGTATCTAACAACACATTTGTAGTTAAAACTCTGTACAGCATTTTGGACAACATTTTTCCAGTCTGCTATTAGCAAGAATAAATTGTAGTAATGCATTTATTTTACATATCATTAGTCAACATGTTTTAAATATTATGTAGCTCAATGTTAGACATTTTAGCAATATACAGATAATATACTTTGGTTTGATGTAGTTTATTTATCATTCTCGTTGATTAACAATTAGTAAAGTAAAATGTAACGATTTAACTGGAATTTCGCGACTTAAAGATTTATGTATGTATCACGTTTAAACATCACAATTTTGTATTTACTTTGTTTCTGCCATTCTCCAGCCCCCGCAGTGTGACCCCAGCGGAAGGAATATCTTGAAACGCCGAAGGAAGAGAGAAAGTGAATTGGAAGAAAAAGGTGATCTTACGAAATTGAGGCAGGAGGAGCAGGATGTGCGTGATTTAAACATAGAAGTATTTTCTGGTCTCCATGTGAACGAAGTTGATAATTTGAACACTGATGACGGTAAGTTATTACCATTGAAAAAAAAAACAAAAAAACTTTATTAGTATATTCGTTATTTAGAATTATTTCATCTTCGTCTATAACTAAAGCCAAATAAAAATTTGGAACGTAAGATTTTCCAGCATAATTAAAAAGCCCCACGAATAAAGAATTGGCTACAGTTTTAGGTGTTTCCAACAGCGATGTGCAGGACGTGGCTAGCATATCAGGAACTGTGAATTCGGAAGTTCCTGGTTTGCGACCCGTTGCCATAAAATTTTGCTCCAAATTTTGGGTCTGTGGGTGCAATATAAAAGTGACGATAAATCCCACCATCCGCTCAAAATTTGCGGTAGGTGCTGTTGACTAGTTAGCCTCTTCACCTCTGGATTGTAGATCATCACTTCAAAGTGAGGGACGACTAGGCGCATATTGTCCTTCTGTAGCTTGGGGCAATACTCTGGAACAAACCAATAGCTGAGCTAAAACAAACATTTTGGAGGATTTTATCATAAAAAGTGGCCTATTTTTGTTGCCGCTAATACTTAGAATTTCACATTGCTTAACACAGTCTATTATAGTTTCGTGGGTGGGAGAATGACCTTATTCTTTGTGTAAATATTCTCACTTTAATTGAGTATTGAAACCAAGCTTTTCATTTTTGTAAAATGCACATAATGGGAAAATTATTAATTTTTTAATATGTTCAAGGGCTCGGCATGGCCAGGTGGTTAGGAAGCTTGACTCACAATCTGCGGGTCGCGGGTTCGAATCCCCGTCACACCAAACATGCTCGCCCTTTCAGCCAAAGGGGTGTTATAATGGGACGGTCAATCCCACTATTCGTTGGTAGAAGAGTAGCCCAAGAGTTGGCGGTGGGTGGTGATGACTAGCTGTCTTCCCTCTAGTCGTACACTGCTAAATTAGGGACGGCTAGCGCACATGGCCTTCGTGTAGCTTTGCGCGAAATTCAAAACAAACAAACAAACAATATGTTCAAAATATTAAGTAATTATTATTATTTGAATTACTTTTCTTTTTCCAGTTTAGATAGTAGAGAGGTGTTGTTTAGTCCGCACATGTGCATGTGGTGCCGTTCATGTCAAAATTTCCAGTTCTTTTTCTTTTTATGGTTTAGCCTCGTTAATCTAAATCTGTGTTAAAGTCGCTAGCACATCACAGGTTTTCAATAATGATAATTCCTATTTTCAAGTAAATATGTTATTAAAAAAGAGATATTTCTTGAACGTAAATATTTTATTACAGAAATTATTAATACAAATATCCCAATATAACTAAACCATCTCAGCAAATATCTCTTACTGTGTTTGTCGACAAAAATGAAATATGAGGGTGATGTTCCAAACTTAGTTTGGGAGATGTAAAATTTAGAAAACATTTTTGTCATGAATATATATAATTAATATAACAATACCAACATGATATACTTTCATACAGAAATTTCCTTTAAAATCCCTCAAGCGAGAAATAATAGTCTTAACGTGTTCAAAGCTCATTCATACTTTTTATATTGTATTTTATTTCCACAACAATAATATTTTCTCAAAAAAAACTTGTGTCGCAGTATTATTGGCCCTAAAGGGACAACTTAAATGGTGTTTTGAAGTTTCGAATCCATTAAGTAAGAAACGCTACATGCTTGATTTAAAAAAATATTCACACTATTAACATTTTAATTATGTGATATTTCTTTACTGAACAGAGCCTGGAATAAAAACGCAGCCTTCAGTTGGCGATGATGAGTTTTGTGTTTCTACTAGAAAATTCGCTATTGGTATTGCCATTGCTGGAGTCTTGCTAATGTTAGCAGTCATGTTGCTCGTGGCCTGTATCCTTCACCGCCGCCGCAGGAGAAAAGGGGCCAGTACAGCCTGCAGTTCTATCTACTCTGGACCGTACTCTAACGCTGCATACAGCAGGGACTGAGTCTTGACAAGACATTTGTGAACGGGCGTGGGAAGAGGTCAAAGCGCCTTGAAAGACAAGCAGTTATATTGACCCCGTGATATTTATGGACAGATTTTATATCAAATGATCCTCTGAAGTCGTTAATAATTTACAATAGTTTTTAAAAAATCAGCAACAAGCTAAAATAAGTATATTGGAATCAGTTCAGAGTGTAAATTACTTTAAACGATTGAATGCTAAATTATTTTCATTTCATAACTAGCTTAAATATAAATGCTAATTTTTCGTTTTTAATACTAGGAAAACGAATGCACGTATTTCACGTAGCATGGGTTTTGAAATATTCTATGGTGTTTTTGTCATTGTTTGTGGTGTTGGTATCCATGGTGTTACTGTTCGTAATATAGGTTTCCATGGCGTATTGTTAACGTCCGTGGTACAAATTTTGGAATAGTCTACGGTGTTTTTGTTATTGTTCCTGGTATAAGTTTCCGTGGTATCACTGTTCTTGTTCGTATTATAAATTTAGGAATAGTGTTTTTGTCATTATTCGTGGTATAGATTTCCACGGTGTTATTGTTCGTGTTGTAACTATAGATCTTTTCGGTTTCTTTGACTATTTTTACAAATTGATTTCATCTTATTTCAACTTCGCATTATATATATACCGTATGAAGGATTCTCTAATTTATAACGACACAAACTTCAAGGCTATCTAGAACGTACTATACCAAAAGATGGAGCCAAACTGTTTGAAGCTTGTTTACACTATATCTAACCAAACTTCATGATTACTGGGAAGGTTTCTTTTTACTGAAAGTAAAATTACTTCAGTTATGATAACTTAACAGAAGAAGCAGTGCCAAAGTTTTTTTTTTGTATTCCAGATTACTCTTTCTGTAAGTTAACCTAAGATATTATGTTAATTTAAAATGTTTTAGTGGGTTATGGTGTCCTTCATGTCATTGTGAACTTTTAAAAAATATTGTCACTTATAGGCATATTATTACTATTAATAAGTTCTGGAGGAAGATTTTTTAACGACTAGAAAAATGCCAGTTTAAGATAAAGACATTTTTATTTGGTTCTTCCTTTTCAACTGTTGGTTTCCTACCTTTGGATGTTGGTTCAAATTCTGAAGTTAAAAAAGCGTTCAGTACATATTAAATTGTTTGTCATTGTCTTGTTTACGTGTTTCATATTTATTTGTTGATGAAGAAAAAAGTTAAATGAAAAATCACGTGCTTTGAGATGAGATTTATGGTTATATTTGGTGATTTTTTTTTTATTCATATACAATTTGATAAGTGGCCGTTGTAACAGCGACTGAAAATTCGTAGATAATCGCCACGGGGTTACCCTTTGAAAATCTAAAGGATAATTACTTAACAATCCTAAAGTGTCTTGCAAACTGTGTTCAGTGTCATTAATTGTGCACTACATTTACTTCAACTTTTTAATACATCTCTTTCTAATTGTATCTTTAAAAAGTTCTAAGTTAGCTCATAATGTGTAACAAGCAGTGTTTTACTTAGCATAAACACTATGTAAACCGTAGGCTGGTCTTATTATTTTCTATTGAAAGTCTGATGTGATACGGAACTGCCAGACACTGGTAAAAAAAAGGGAGTCGAAATTGGGTTCTTATCAAGCATAAACTTCTATAGTGTCATAGCTGCTGCCTTAAAATATTTTCGTCTTAAAAAATAACTCGAAAACGGGTGTTAGAAGCGGGAGATTTTGTGTTATGTTTTCTATTGAGTGTCTACAAGAAAATATCACACTTTAATCACTATCTCAAATCATACAAAATACTTTGAATCCTATCTATACAGCATTCTTTCTTCCTGAAATCATTTTTTACAGAATATTTCGTGAAAGCCAGCAATGTATTTGCCAATAAATGACCATTTTGTTGTTTGTATTTTGAAATGAGTTAGAGGAGAATTTACAAAACTTGGAGATTTTAAGTGTGCACCCAGAAATACTTCCACGTCACGAGTAATGTTTATTCCCCATGAGTCGTCTTTTGATTACATTTTTATGCTTGACGTTGTATTAGAAAATTGTTTTTTACCTTCCGGAATTTTGGAAATTTCTAAATGGGACGAAAGAAAAACAAAACATAACAGCAAATAAAAGGTTTGTGATTGTACATATATATGTATAGCAGTCGGCCCAAATAGGCAGCTACAGAAAGGTGAAAGGTTCAGTAAAAAAACATACTAAGTTGTTTAAACATTTAGCTGTGATGTTTTAGTCTAAGAAATGGTGTGGGCTTTTTTATTTTTGTTTTTTAAAGAAAGAATCTCTTCTGCCAACCTTTACAGCCCTTGCTGCAAAGCGACTGGTGATTCAAACATTTGTCTTACCTAGAGGTGGTACGGAGATTTTCTTTAAACTCTATCCGTAAACTCATGATAAACTTAAAGACTTAAATGTATGGAATTAGAATGCCCGGTTTTATTTTTCTGTCCAGTAATGTTTCAATAACTATGGTGCTAAATGTAGTTGTACGCAACTTTGGATGTAGGTTCATTATGATATTTGTAACATTTTAAACATGGTGTTCTAAATAAACTTACACAGTTGATTTGTTTCTCTTTTACGTTTGAAGTGCCGTAAATAGCTATGTTTTAAAGGACTAAAAAGTTGATGAAGTGTTTGAAGTACAATTAGAATGTAATGATTAATTCTTAACAAAAAGTGTAAACTCGTTTCGCAAGCTCCTAGAACAGTCTGTGACTAAAATGTTTTACTACTGCCTCGTAAGTTATTGACTTTTAATGGAGGTTAATCCACTGTAACCGACAACTTACAAATGATATACCTATACGTTGCATCATCGTAAAAGGAGAACACAAAACATCGAGTGATTAAAATAAAACAATTTATTTAATAGTGGGAGTTGACCACGTAAAAATAATAGCTATTTTGGTCACCACAATACTGGGAAAACGATAAAAACTGGGAGTTGACCACGTAAAAATAATAGCTATTTTGGTCACCACAATACTGGGAAAACGATAAAAACTGGGAGTTGACCACGTAAAAATAATAGCTATTTTGGTCACCACAATATTGGGAAAACGATAAAAACCACTAAAATTGCCTTTCAACTATAATTTAGTATTAAAGCTTCCGAAAAATACTAATATTATGTTCATTAGTTCACATCTTGCAGAAATGTCTTCATTTGAAAATGATTTCTCCCCCACCTCACACATTTCTTTGTGTCAATATTTTGGTGAAAGACCTTTGATTTTTTCAAAGTAATTTACCTAAAGACCTAAGTTGCAATCATAATGCTGGAAAGTGTGATGTTAGCATAAAACGTATATGTTATGGATGCAGTCACGATGGGGCTGATATTGACGTCAACTCGATTAGAACGAGAGGTGTTTCAAAACTTTAGGATCCAATCAAAAAATGACAAGAAAACTGCGAAACAAAAGGAATGTAAAGTAAGATACTTTGTTATTTTCATTCTCGTTCTCTTAGATCGTTCAGCGATCGACAGACTCAGACCTCAACCAACAAAAGTCATAAGAAATATTTTAGAACATTTATTGTTGTTTCTACTAAATGTCCAAAATGTTTTAGATGTCATTAATAGGTCGAACAATCATTCTATCTTCACCGACGTTAAAACAACATTTTGGAGATTTTATTACGTTTATCGAAGCAAGAGATCGAATCCTAAACTCATGCACAATTTGATCCAGTTATATCGTTCAGAAGTGCCACCAAAACATTGCAATGTGTACGATGGGCTTGTAGTTTGAGGGTTAAATCCAAAATAATTTTAATCAAAAATATTTCCTTTAAACGTTATGGTGAAATAACCGCTTTATGTGTTTTAAAAGTGTAAATTTATGATTTTTATTGAAATGTTATTTAAATGTTGATAAAAACTGCCTTCGTATTTTCAAATTAGTTATTTTAAAGAAAAATCTGACGAAAGAAAATATGAAACAGATTTTTGGCTGTTTTAAATCAGATTTAATCATGTGTCAAGTAGTATTGACTGACTTTATTCTCATCAGCTTTCGCTAACGAGAGTATCATTGATATTTCAACTACCAGCTAAGGATTAATCATAGACTACTAGAATACTTGCATATGTTAATACAGTGGCATGCTACAAGTTTCGCTCATGTACATTTGGTTTACAGTTTCCGGCCATCCAACAGCACAATTCCGCCATGTTGTACTTACAGCTGGACGATATAAAAACTTTTCGGAATGACGATATTCATAGAGTGAGATTACGATACAAGAATCTCTAATGTTCTCCATGAAATATAACATAGAATTTGGGATAGTAACTGGTCTGAAACCATACCCAATCTGAAGCATTATCCTAGTCCGCAAAGTGAACCCTAGAGTCATAAAAGATAATTTTTCGACCCAAAAAAGGCATTGCAATGAAGCTTGAAAAATATTCTGATACCATTAACAAGAAAATAAACTTGACAGTTGATGAAGGCTCACAACACAAAATCTCATAAACTTTCCTTCACATCTTGAAATCAACTTCTATTTTTAGGAAAAAGCTTTTGGTTTGTAGTTTGGATCCTGGAAGATAATTTTTATAACGTACAAGTAACTCTACAAATCTTCAGCACAACATTACTTGACGATTAAGTCCAGTGATTACGTAATGGTTTAGATTGTGCTGAAAACCTTCCTCGAATGTATATCTGAGGAAGTGTATATGACCCTCACATGTTTCTAAACCTTTAAATTTTGTGCATATAAGTTTTCTGATCACATATACACATAATCTCTACTAGACATTCAGAAGTATTAGCTAATTCGAAGAAATAGACCAAACTGAGCCCATACTTTTTCTATGTACATAGGTTGGGTGCTGCAATTAGTGATAATAACTTCGTTTTGATTACCTTTACAATTACTCAAGTTTTTAAAACATCATTAAAGAAAATTGAATAAGCCATAGGTGTTGAAGCTAAATAATATTAGGTAATAAATCGTTGATAAACAATTTTTATGTGGACAATCTGCTGTTGAAACAAGTAACTGACGAAGATTCACGTTGGAGTGTTGAAATGCCATCGCTGCTCTCCGTTTCAACAGCAGGCTGTCCGTGTATAAACCTTGTTTGTGAACGATTCATTACCTCCTATCCACGTGTTTTAGAAGCAATAAAACTAAAGTGAATGATCCAAGCATTCCAAGACGACGCCACAATACTACTTACTAGTTTTTTAGACGTGGAAGAAAAGTAGAGTTTGTGATTCGCCGTACTATAGTTTAAAAAAATAACGTTTTGTAATTAACCAGCGTACATCTATACATAAGATTACAGTGAACGTTCTTAATATTTTCTCCACACAATCGGTATATATAAATGGATGAAATATAACCTATTAGGTTCACATTCATTGCTCACAGTATTCACTCTAAACATCACTGAAACCAAATCATTTACATTGCACAAAATTTACTCTTGTTATGAAATAACAAGAACAACAACAAAAAAAAAAAAAAGATTTTGAGACTGCTCTAAGTTTTCCTTGGTAAATTATTTGCTTCGATATTAATTTAGTTTGGTTTGTTTTGAATTTCGTACAAAGCTACTCGAGGGCTATCTGCGCTAGCATCCCTAATTTAGCAGTGATAGACTAGAGGTAACGAAGCTAACCACTACCACTCACTGCAAACGCTTGGGCCACTCTTTTACCAACGAAAGGTGGGATTGACCATCACATAATAATGCCTCCACAGCTGAAAGGACGAGCATTTTCGGTGATGGAGATTCCGACCCGCGACCCGCAGGTTGCGAGTCGAGCGCCCTAACCACTAGGCCATGGCAGGCCGCTTGGATTTTGACATGAGTCCAGACGAGGCCTAGAGGTTAGAGTGATCAGACTGTGAATTTAGTTGTTCGTGTTCTGTTGTCGTGAAAAAAAAAACAAGACGCTCTCCGCACTTTGGGGCTGTAGGTAAGATATGAGAGAGACGCTCCAATCCCATTATTCGACCAGATAGGTGTAACACAAGAGTTGGAAAGCGCGGTTCTGTTCACTAGATCAGTTCAAAATTAGGAACAGCTGTGGCTTGTCGCGAAAATTTCCAAACGAAATTTTCTCTGTGACATGGTGTTAGAGTCCTACTTCTTTTTTAATAGAAAGAATATCTAGACATGATATATTCTTATGATCAGGCTGAGTGTGATCTAGAGGCTAGCGTGCTGAGTAGTAGATCCGAGGGTCTATTGCTCGCGTCTCGTTACCACACACACGCACACAAAATAAAAATCGTATCCTGTACTTTGGAGCGGTATGTGCGTTATTAGTGTGACGGTCAAATACCACTATTCGATTAGAGTAGTACAAAATTTGGCGGTGGGTGTTGTTGACTAGCTGCATTTCCTTTACTATTATAAGTTAAATATTAGGAACGGCTAGCGCAGCTAGCAATTGTACAGCTTTGCAAGAATATCTGAAACAAAGCAAACCAAACCTTGAGTGCAAACAATCGTCACAAGGTTGTTAAAGCCATTGGCATAACCTCACAGAAATTCTTAAACAATTAAGAATTTGACGCTTACTTATGTGAAGGTCAATGGCTCAAAAGAGCGCGATAAACTACGAGAGAACATTTCAAAATATTTCTCATAATGCTATAACCCTTGTGTCTTTCTCTTTAAGATGGAAACAGAAATAAACATACGCCTATAAAAAATGTAATAATTTTATCAATCCGTCATGTATATAAAAATGGCTTTTAATTACTAGATAGGAACTGCTGTGTAAAGTTTGGAGCCTTTTATGGTTACAATGCGAAGATTAATTTAGTTGATATCAGTGATTAGGAACTTGTGAACGTTACAATTATGCAAAGCTTGTTAGTTCACCTGAACGACACTTTATGCACACATTAAGTTAAAGGTCAGGTCAAAGATCCACATGATTCAGTAATAACTGTTCCTAATTTTGAACTGCGAAATAAAGAGAAGACAACTAGTTGGAAGCACCCGCCGCATGAAGCAGTTGCCTTTAACCGAATGACACACACCGATAACTGGAAGTGCGACGCCATCATTTCTTGAAAGCACAGATTGTTTTATAGGAAAAATATCTTCATTATTAGCCTTGGTTGAGATATCAGAATATTTTAGATGGAAACCTACATCATAATCCCTTAGAACAGGTTTGACCAACTTTTTTGAAGCTCAAGAACAGAAAGATATAGTGTAAGAGATAAGAAACTATAACTTTCAAAAATTCTAAAAAACAACAGTAATCAATCTTCTCTGATGTCTTACTAGTTACTATAACAACAATAATCTTCTCTGATATCTTACCTTTTACTATAACAACAATAATCTTCTCTGATATCTTACCTTTTACTGTAACAACAGTAATCTTCTCTGATATCTTACCTTTTACTGTAACAACAGTAATCTTCTCTGATATCTTACCTTTTACTGTAACAACAGTAATCTTCTCTGATATCTTACCTTTTACTGTAACAACAGTAATCTTTTCTGATATCTTACCTTTTACTGTAACAACAGTAATCATCTCTGATATCT